TTTTTTTTAGAAAAAAAAATACACTCGAAAGAGTAGGGGATTAAGACCTTCTCCAACCGTACCTCAAAACCAATCGCAAACACAAAAAAATCTTCCAACCCAACTGCATAACCCAACCCAAAATGCGTTCTTCCCTCAATTTCTCTCTCTTCAAACGCAATTTTGCGTTTCCCTGTTCACAGACGCAAAACCTTTATCAAATTGTATTTTAGTCCTTTGCTTTATTATTTTTACTTTTACCTATTATACTTAAATAATATAATTTATATATATATAATGGTTTTAATATCATTTTTTAATTTGTAATTCAATCCAATATTATTTAATAAATTATATATATCCTATAAAATGTTAGTCCCAAAATTATAAAAATATTATATTTTCAAATAACCGTACAAATTTAAATATGATTTATCACTATTTTAATAAAATATTTGTAATATATAGGAACAATGTGATTTTTTCTATAATATATTTTTTTTTCAATCAAGTTTAAAATAATGGTATGGTATAATTTGAAATGTTTGCGAAATATGTGTAATTCTTATTGAATACATATTTTTTAGTAACTTTTCCTTTATTATTAATTTTTTTTTATAAATTTTAAATCAAATTTAAATAATAGTGTTGTTTAATTTGTAAAGTTGTAAAATGTTTGGATAGTATTGAAAATTGTAAAAGTTGATGTAGAAGAGAATATTTTGAGAATATTCTTTTGGGTTTGAGAATGAGTTTTTTGGTTGGAGATGAATTACTGTTTGATGTGAAAGTTACTGCAAAATGAGTTTGAGAATGAGTTTTTGGGTTGGAGATGGCCTAAGGCCTAACATTAGTTAATTATTTCTATGCTTAATTTTTTAGAGTAAATTACACCATTTACCAAACCTACCACTTTTTATTCCAAAACTTCACATGCATAAGGGATAATTTAAAAGTTGGTCATATAATTTGGCAAGAGTCCCAAAAACCACCCGATATTGACTACTTTCAAAATTAGTCCTACAATTTCAAAATTTAATCAAATTTGGTTTTTTTTAATCACATTTCAAAATTTAATCAAATTTGGTTTTTTTTAATCACATTTTAATCCATGTTCTAGATAAAAAAGACCAAATTTAATTAAATTTTGAAATTATAGGACCAATTTTAAAAGTGGTCCATATCAAAATAGTATTTTAAACCGTGACCAATTTATAGGACAAATTTTAAAATTACCAAAAAAAAAATTACCACTTTCTAAAATTTCGCCCAATTGGTCCGCGACTGAGATTCCAGATTTTGATTTATTTGTGCTGATGTTCAACCATCAGAAAGGCCTTTTTTTTCCGAGAAAACGCCGCCCGGAAGCTTTTTTATACTCTCTTTCTTCAACTTCACTCTCTGTTCGCCTTTTTGTTTTCTCTTCTTTTTTTTCTGTAGAGTACACACTTGTTAACAAACAACACTCTTGAAAAAAACAATTGTTCAATTCTGTTCATGCCCGCTTTTATGTTCTTCCCCAAGTTTCTGTCACTTTGGATTGCTGGAATTTGACGTTCGAATGCTAATTTTCATGGATATTAGAGGTACGTATGATAATGTTTCATTCTTTGATCTTTTAAAATCAGTCTCTGAATCGACCGCTCTGTGTGGTTTCTAATACGCGCCGCGCCCTTTTTTTTTTGTTTTTGCCGTATTCAGATGCACCAATTTGAAGGACTGATGTTTTATCCTAATTTATCCTTTTTGTAAATCAAGAATCGATAACAGAATGCCTTGGGGGTTTGAAGATCGTTTTTCCAGATGCATTGTGATTATTGTCCCTTTAATTTTGTTGTTAAGTTGTCCGGCAAAGTCCTTGAGCCGGCAAGGATTGTACCTCCTGGAGTTGAAAAAAACCATAATCGATCCGAATAATGTTCTTTCAAGTTGGAACCCTAGTGATCAGACCCCCTGTAGTTGGGTTGGGGTGAATTGCTCATCGGGTTTCCATCGGGTTGTGTGGTCCCTCGACTTAAGCTCGAAAAATCTTTCGGGCACTTTAAGCCCAAGCATTGGCCATCTAGTCTTTCTAAGACATCTCGATCTTTCCTTTAATGGGTTCACAGGGATTATCCCGAGGGAGGTCTCGAGATGTTCAAGGCTGGTGACATTTAACTTGAACAATAATTATTTCGAAGGAGAGATTCCCGTGGAGTTGTTTAACCTGTCTCGTTTGAGAAACATAAATATATGCAACAACCATATTTCTGGTCCGATCCCGGAGGAAATCGGAAAACGTACTTCTCTAGTTCACTTTATCGCATACAGCAACAATATCACGGGCTCTGTGCCAAAGTCCTTGGGTAACTTGAGAAGCTTGAAAAGCTTTCGGGTCGGTCAAAATGCGATTTCTGGAAGTTTACCAGCCGAGTTAAGCAATTGCTTGAGCCTGGAGATTCTTGGTCTAGCGCAAAACCAACTAGGAGGCAACTTGCCCAAAGAACTGGGAAATCTCAAGAACATGACCGATCTCATTCTTTGGGGTAACCAGTTTTCTGGACTTATACCGAAGGAGCTCGGGAACTGTACGAGACTCAGAAATCTCGCTTTGTACCAAAACAACCTCGTTGGAAAAATTCCTTCCGAAGTTGGTAATATCCGATCTCTGAGGAAGTTGTACTTGTACAGAAATGGATTGAGTGGAACTATTCCGAAGGAAATCGGAAATCTTAGTTTAGGATTAGAAATGGATTTGTCGGAGAATAATTTATCGGGGGGGATTCCTGTGGAATTGGCTCAAGTAAGGGGACTGCAATTACTCTTCTTATTCGAAAATGAGCTTAGTGGCAGTATCCCACCAGAACTAAGTAGCTTGGGGAATTTGACGAAGTTAGATATTTCGAGGAACCAACTAAGTGGTCCAATCCCATCTAGCTTCCAATATTTTCCTAGCATTCGACAGTTATACTTTATTGGTAATAATCTGAGTGGTGTCATACCACAGGGCCTCGGCCTCCACAGTCCGCTTTGGGCCGTTGATTTTAGCAACAATCAGTTAACGGGTAAGATTCCTCCTTTTATGTGTCAAAATTCTAACTTGATTTTGCTGAATCTTGGATCGAACAAATTGCACGGAAGAATCCCGTCAGGCATCATCAATTGCAGTTCGTTGGTTCGCCTAGTCCTCACTGGTAACAAGCTTAAAGGGGGTTTCCCTTCGGATATTTGTAAATTGACCAATATATCGGATATCGAGTTGGGGCAGAACAAGTTTGGTGGTCCCGTAAGTCGGGAAATTGGAAGCTGTCAGAAATTGCAGAGGGTCGATTTATCGGGAAATTACTTCACGTCCAAGCTGCCGAAAGAGATTGGGAACTTGCAGCAGATCGTGGAATTTAATATTTCGTCAAACTCATTCACCGGAAGCATACCAGTCGAACTCGCCAACTGCAAGGCTTTACAAAGGCTTGATCTAAGTAGGAACAAGTTTTTCGGCACTTTACCTAATGAGATAGGTTCTCTTTATCTGCTTGAACTTCTGACTATTTCGGAAAATGCATTTTCGGGAAACATACCGCCGGGGTTAGGGAATCTGTCTCGTTTGACCGAACTACAGATGGGCGGGAATTTATTTTCTAGTAAGATTCCTAAGGAGTTGGGCAATCTTGTCGGGCTCCAAATTGCACTGAACCTGAGTTATAACAACATAAGCGGTAGCATTCCGCCAGAGCTCGGGAACTTTATTCTTTTGGAGTACATTTTTCTCAACAACAACCACTTGAGCGGTGAGATTCCCGACTCATTCGGCAACCTGACGAGCCTTCTCGGCTGCAACTTTTCGTACAACGAGCTGACGGGCTCGCTGCCTTCCGCACCACTTTTTCAGAACATGAGCTCCAGTAGCTATATTGGAAACAAGGGGCTTTGTGGTGGACCCCTCGGCGTTTGTTACCTGTATGCAGATGGTCCTACTTTACCGGATATCAATGATTTTGCTCAGAGGAAAATTGTCACCATAGTTGCCTTTGTCACAGGTTTACTCTCCCTTTTCCTTATCATAGTTATCTTGTACGTTATGAGGTATCGTAATTATGTCTGGATTTCGTCCATGCGGGAAAAGCCCGTGGAGTGCGACATTTATTTCCCCCCGAAAGAGGGTTTCACCCTTGAGGACTTGGTCGAGGCCACCAACAACTTTGACGAAAGGTTTGTTATTGGGAGAGGGGCTGCTGGGACCGTGTACAAGGCAGTGTTGCAGTCTATTCAAGTTATTGCTGTGAAGAAGCTTGTGTCCAATAGGGAGGGAAACAGTAATAATAACATTGATAACACATTTCGAGCTGAGATTTTGACCCTCGGTAGTATCAGGCACCGTAACATCGTGAAACTGTACGGTTTCGTGTATCACCAGGGCTCGAATCTTCTTTTCTACGAATATATGGAGAAGGGCAGCTTGGGCGAGTTGCTTCACGGAGAGTGTTGTGAGCTCGACTGGCCCACGCGTTTTAAGATTGCTGTTGGGGCTGCTGAGGGTCTTGCGTATTTGCATCACGACTGCAGGCCCAGGATCATTCACCGTGACATAAAGTCGAGCAACGTATTGCTTGATGACAAGTTTGAAGCTCATGTCGGTGATTTTGGGTTGGCCAAAATGGTTGATTTGCCAGTATCCAAGACAGTGTCAGCAGTTGCTGGGTCGTATGGTTATATAGCCCCTGGTGAGTGAATATTTTATATTATTGAAACTTTGATTGACGAGAACATCTTTTTAGATTCTAATCACAGCTGTCTTGTTTGATTGACAATATCATTTTTATCCAGAATATGCGTACACTATGAAGATCACGGAAAAATGTGACGTTTACAGTTATGGAGTGGTTCTTTTGGAGTTGTTGACCGGAAAAACTCCCGTGCAGCCACTTGATGATGGAGGCGACCTCGTCTCACTTGTGAAGAATTATGTCCGGGTGCACTCACTTTCGCCAGGGATACTGGATAGTCGTTTGAATCTGGAAGATGAAGCTTTTGTTACTCACATGACTGATGTTTTAAAAATTGCGCTTATCTGCACTAGCATGTCCCCTCATGATCGACCATCTATGCGGGAGGTTGTACTAATGCTGCTCGAATCCAGTGATCGAGGAGCAAATTACGATTTACCTCTACAGTAGCTTATTACTGCACAATAACCTTCTTTTTTCTTATGTTGGCCAAAATTGTAAATGATGGAAAATTGTGTTTGTTTTTCAAAGAGAAAATTACTCCCCTTACTTTCGATTTACTAAATAATATTAATAATATGATATGTACATCTTTTCATCACAATTACCAACTATGTATTTAGTTAAGGAAAATTGTAAGTAAGGAGGGTGGTTATCTCATTGCATAATAATCGGGAGGAGAGTTATTCTCTTTCCTTGCACACACAACACTAAATCAATAAAAAAAATATTATTTTTCTCTCTCACAACCTTGGTTGCCGTGTAACAACTTCACAAGAAAAATTGCAAGAACTCATCTTCCCTAAACACCAAAAAAAAAAAAAAAAAAAAAAAAA